CGACCGCACCGATCGCACCGACCGCACAGACCCCTCCGACACAACTGCTTCAACCTCGGCTTCAATTCTGTTTGGGCCGTGGTTCACGAATACGAGTCCTCTCTTTTGAAAGGTAAGTCTCGCTCTGGCGTCCCGGCGACCGCACCAAAGAACATATGTGAAATGGGCGGCCTCCTTGCCTGCGAGACTTACCGCAACAGCGCTTGAGAGAGATTCTGTTGCTAACGCGAGTCACCGCTTGTTTTTTCGGCGCTTCTCGTTCTTTCTGTTTGTCTTTCTTTCCTATTTACACGACGCACTGGCACTGTTTCTTCTTTTTTTGCCGTGCAGGCGACGGACTGGCACCCAGACGTTTTGCTCACGTTCCAGGACGTCCATCTTGGCCTTCTGGGTCAAGCACGCCAGAGGTACGGTTTACACGCAGACATATAGGCAGAAGAAAGAGCGATCTGAAAATGCGGTTTGGTTTTGGTTTTCTTCTTTGTCTTCTTCTTTATGCGCGCAGGTGAATGTTATCGTAAAGAACTGGGTTTAGATTTCACATGTACGGTACAGTGTAGTAAGATTCTTTATTGGTAAGAATAGATGTGTTAAACGTTTCAAACGTTTCGTTCGCACGAAAAGGTTTGCCAGCAAAGGAAGAAGGGTAGAGTCTGCAAGCGAGGAAAATTGCAAAACACAGAGGCGGAAGCAAAAGGTTACCGAGAATGACACACGATAACAACTGGCTGTTGTGCTGATTGCGTGAAGAGTGGCGGCTGTCGGCGCGACATACTTAACGTTTGGGGTGGTACGGACGGGCGAATGGTATCTGCGGTTTTGATACTTGTTTCTTGCCAGTCACACGCCTCCCGTACCTCGCATTAACCCCGCCCCCGTTTTGGCTCTCGACGGCGCCGTCCCCTTGTGCCGCGCCCGTTGTCCACCAACCCCTTCTGCCTCCTCGACCCCCTCCCTACTGCCGTCGTCTCATGCCAATTGTCCGGCACTCACACCATCGTCGTCTACGGCCCTCTGTTCTCCCTCTTCTGCATGCTCTCTCCCTTATACGCCCTCCGTCGCCGCAGCACAGTCCCCTTCCCACCTCTCAGTTACGCTTTCATCGCTTTCGTTGAATACCCCCGCTCTCTACCTAATACGCCCTCCGTCGCCGCAGCACAGTCCCCTTCCGACCTCCCCTTCCGACCTCCCCTTCCGACCTCCCCTTCCGACCTCTCTGTGACGCTGTCATCGCTTTCATCGCTTTCATTGAACACCCCCCAATGTCCCCAATGTCCACGCGCCCCTTCCCCTTCCAACCGCAAGTGGCGAGCAAACATCCTCGAGTGCTTCCATACAGTCCCCATTCCCTCCCATCTCCTCAGTCGACGAGTATGCAATGATTTCCAGCGCCCAGCATCCCCAGTTTTGTCCCTCAATTCACCCCGTCGGAAGAACATGCTTCGCATATGACCTTTCTCACAAGCCCCACATCATGGTCACCGCTCACAATTAAATTGATTCCAATACCCTACAACCTAACCCCCCAATTTCTCCAGTTAACGTTCCGCATCGCCCACATCCTGCCCAACCCGCCCAACCCGTGCTGGAAACCGGGATCGGGAGCGCAACACACCCGGAATGTGGAATCGATAAACATACCTCCAGACTCCCGGCCGAAACACCTTTCACACTTAAAAAATGTAGACACGCACTGGCGCACCGACGCTCCTCTCCCGGCAGCGGCGGAGAGCGCAGAGAGCGCGGAGAGCGCCGAGAGCGCCGAGAGCGCCGAGAGCGCCGAGAGCGCCGAGAGCGCCGAGAGCGCCGAGAGCGCGGAGAGCGTGGAGAGCGTGGAAAGATTGGAGATGGTAGGGACAGTAGGGATGGTGGGAGATTACAGAGAATGGGAATTCATGGGAGAGGGCCAAAATGTCGGCAAAAATATGTCGTAAGGGCACGTACCCAGGGCGCGTGTTCTCGACGTGGACACGTTTCACACCCGGATCTCGAACACCTGACGCGGTGGAGATTGCATCACAGCCATGTACTGTGCTGTGCGAGTGTGGAGGTGAAGGTACCTACTTTTAAAAAAGTAATGTTTAACCAAAGTGCACAATGGTGCGGTGAGCGATGATCGCTCACACGCAGAAGCGAGTTTTTTACTTGTTCAATTCACTGTAACATGCAAGCCGCGGACAACCTTCAAATTATAGAAGCAATGTTGATTGCGAGGACAAATGCATACCTTTAAATACCGTTGGTATCCACACTGTGTCGCCGCAGAGTCCGCTGTTTGGGAGAGAGGAGTTCGTGGCAGAGTGGACAACCGGTTGCTGGTGGTGCAGTTGACACTCTGCGCCTGCGAGGCCCTGGGTTCGATTCCCGCCCGGTGCCCAACTTGGTTGCGTGCCCAAGTTGGTTGAGCCACTTGGGCACCCAACCAAGTTGGCCCGGGCAAAATTCGTAGCTTACCTAGTTACTTAGTTACTTTCTTTTTTTACTTTCTTCCTACTTTCTTCCTATTTTCTTCCTACTTCTTTCTGCTTTCTTTCTTTCTGTTCTCTTTCTGTTCTCTTTCTGTTCTCTTTCTGTTCTCTTTCTGTTCTCTTTCTGTTCTCTTTCTGCTTTCTTTCTATTGCCTTTTTATTGTATTTGTATTGTATTTGTATTGTTCCTCCTCTCCTCACCAACCTCGTCTTGTCTATGTTCACCTACTTGTTCGTCTCCGTTTCGATCGAGTTCAAACGCGCACGGGTCTTAGCGACAAACACTTTTCTCTCTCCTCTCGCTAAACATATTCCTTTTACACATTACGCAATCCAAATACTCTACAACTAAGCCTTTCGCCCTTCCAACGTCTTCCCGCTGCCGTCCCCCCTCCCCAAATCCATCATCCCGCACACTGCCTCTTGCTCACGAGACCTCCCTCACCCGCTACGCTCCCTACTGCCTGCCATCTCGGCTTCCCGGCCCGCACAGCAGCCCGAGGCGGTAGCGATGACGTCCCCACGTCCCCACGTTAACACGTTCCCCACGTCCCCACGTCCCCACGTCCCCACGTTAACACGTTCCCCACATTCCCCACGTTCCCCACGTCCCCACGTCCCCACGTTTTTACCCTCCCCCGTAGTACACAGCCCAAAATGTGGCGTTCCGAAGTCCGCGACAGGAAGTAGCGGGACCAGCGAAATGCGTGGAATCAGGGAGGCGGAATGCAAATCGATCGTATGCATTTAATTGGTTGGATCTGTCCCGTATGGCGCCCAGTGACGTCATTTGTCGAGGGGTTTCGGACCCTGGAAACCGGGATCGGCAGCGGAAGACACCCGGAATCTGGAATCGATGAACATGCCTCCAGACGTCCGGCTGAAAACACGTTTCACACTTACTGACAAATGCAGACACGCACCGAGGGCCCTTCCAGGCAGAAATAATGCTTGAATCACGATCTCACCTGCGCTCATGCGCTCATGCGCACGTCAGATCATCCACTCACTGTCTGTCTCTCCTACGATAAATGTCGACTCTCACTTCCACCCTCAGACAAATGCACCTCTGTGCATCACATCAACAGAACAAACACATGTGATGCACCGGACTGTGCGCCTCCCTTTCCCTTCCCGACATGCACCTTAACCGACCGCACCGACCGCACCGACCGCACCGACCGCACCGACCGCACCGACCGCACCGACCGCACCGACCGCACAGACCCCTCCGACACAACTGCTTCAACCTCGGCTTCAATTCTGTTTGGGCCGTGGTTCACGAATACGAGTCCTCTCTTTTGAAAGGTAAGTCTCGCTCTGGCGTCCCGGCGACCGCACCAAAGAACATATGTGAAATGGGCGGCCTCCTTGCCTGCGAGACTTACCGCAACAGCGCTTGAGAGAGATGCTGTTGCTAACGCGAGTCACCGCTTGTTTTTTCGGCGCTTCTCGTTCTTTCTGTTTGTCTTTCTTTCCTATTTACACGACGCACTGGCACTGTTTCTTCTTTTTTTGCCGTGCAGGCGACGGACTGGCACCCAGACGTTTTGCTCACGTTCCAGGACGTCCATCTTGGCCTTCTGGGTCAAGCACGCCAGAGGTACGGTTTACACGCAGACATATAGGCAGAAGAAAGAGCGATCTGAAAATGCGGTTTGGTTTTGGTTTTCTTCTTTGTCTTCTTCTTTATGCGCGCAGGTGAATGTTATCTTAAAGAACTGGGTTTAGATTTCACATGTACGGTACAGTGTAGTAAGATTCTTTATTGGTAAGAATAGATGTGTTAAACGTTTCAAACGTTTCGTTCGCACGAAAAGGTTTGCCAGCAAAGGAAGAAGGGTAGAGTCTGCAAGCGAGGAAAATTGCAAAACACAGAGGCGGAAGCAAAAGGTTACCGAGAATGACACACGATAACAACTGGCTGTTGTGCTGATTGCGTGAAGAGTGGCGGCTGTCGGCGCGACATACTTAACGTTTGGGGTGGTACGGACGGGCGAATGGTATCTGCGGTTTTGATACTTGTTTCTTGCCAGTCACACGCCTCCCGTACCTCGCATTAACCCCGCCCCCGTTTTGGCTCTCGACGGCGCCGTCCCCTTGTGCCGCGCCCGTTGTCCACCAACCCCTTCTGCCTCCTCGACCCCCTCCCTACTGCCGTCGTCTCATGCCAATTGTCCGGCACTCACACCATCGTCGTCTACGGCCCTCTGTTCTCCCTCTTCTGCATGCTCTCTCCCTTATACGCCCTCCGTCGCCGCAGCACAGTCCCCTTCCCACCTCTCAGTTACGCTTTCATCGCTTTCCTTTCCAGC